AAGTAGAGATGATCTTTCTGGCCTGCTGCACTTGTACATTAGGAAAAATAATTTCAAAACAAGTAAACAGTGTTACTTCTTAAAATAAGTAATAGATATTGATCATATCCAGGTTCTTAAGTCACCTTTCAGAAAATATATATGTAAACTCAATGTGGATTTTTTGGGAGATGAGGGCGTGCTTAATTTTTGGCCTAGTACAGTGCTAACATATAAAGTGTACCTCATAAGTTTTTTAATGAATTTAATTTTGGTTCATTATCTTTTAAGTGCAATTTAAAAAAAATCACAAAAAGCTTTCTCAGGAATGTAAAATTTATGTAATTTTTTCTAAAAATTAGGAAATAAAGGATACTTTGGTATTTTTTGTAAAAATCTTTGGTTTGCCACATAAATTAGGATGTATTATTCCATGTCACTCTATATTTTGGTGAGATATTCCTAAAGGTTAAACCTTAATTTGATTTAACCTAAATAAAAAAATAAGTTCTCAGACATGTCATTTTCGGTCAGCATTGTATGTGTGCAAGTTATTTGAAATGACCACAAGAATCCAATGTATCTGGGTAGAACTGCCACCATGCTTAAAGCCTATGGTCTCACAATCTCTTTCTCTTCAGGGTTTAGGAAGGAACACTGACTGCTCAACCAGAAGGCCAGGTGTTTCTGAACACCTATACTAACTTGTATGAAATATTTAAAATGGGGAGAATCCAGTGCTATCCACAACCAGTCAGATATTCCATACACACATATACATAAAGCTTTTGTGTTCTGAAGTGAAATGGGTTTGTTTGTGTATTATTTCAGGTGGAGAAATGAAGTAGTTAGATGATTAGTGGAAGATACACTAGACCCTTGTTTTGTTATTCAGTTGTTTCAGTCGTGTCTTAACTCTCCATGACTCCATTTGGGGTTTTCTTGGGCAAAGATACCAGAGTGGTTTGCCATTTCCTTCTCCAGCTCATTTTACAGATGAGGAAACTGAGGCAAACAGGGTTAAGTGACTTGCCCAGGGCCACACAGCCAGGAAGTGTCTGAGGTGAGATTTGAACTCAGGTCTTCCTGACTTCAGCCCTGGCACTCTATGTACTGCACAGTCTAGCTGCCCCAGTAGCCACTAGACCAGTGGCTCTTAAACTTGCATGATATTATTTGCCATAAGGAATCACAGCATACTGAACATTTATTTAAGTTGACAACAGAGAAGCGTTTCTGGGTAGTTGGCCTCTTAATCTCATTACCACAGCCTAGGATTCCTCTGCTTCTCTTTTCCCTCCCCTACCGTCACCCTCTTCTTCCTCTTCTTCCCCTGCACTCACTGCAGAAAAGGTGGCTTTTTGCCTTTGTATATAGAGCTGCTATTGTGATCTTACTAAAACCAAGCCAGGAAGAGCAGGCAGCAATGCTGGAGGCAGGGGCTGGGGAATGTGAAAAATCTCACCTCATGAAACTCATGGTGCTATGGCACATTCTGAGAGCCACTGCACTAGACAGTTCTAAAAGGGAACAGGTCTGGTTTCATAAGGATCGACCTCAGTGGGCCATTATTTTTCGTCTTCATTACTCCTTTTTGCAGCAGTGACATCGCCACAAAACACACTGACAATAATGTCTCTATACTATCTTTCTTTTTTTATTCTGAACTCAAGCTTTATTGATTTTATGTCTCATGAATATATATGTATGCATATATATTACCATTGACCCATTTATGTTTACTTAATTTCAGCAGTATATTTCATGTCACAATTAAGCAGATGTTATCCATTTCTGAACATTTATATGTAGCATGTTTGCATAATAATTATGATACACCCAGATGAAAGTGGATCAATGCTGCCCAATAACATTCTTCTTATTTTTGTTACGGCAACCTTGAAAAATGGTTTAGTAACATTTATATTGCTTTTCTGAGCAGCTTTTGAGGAATCCATTAATTAGATGGAGATGTTATTCTGGGAGAAGCAGAATTAGTCTGTCTTCTTTCAGATTAAAATACCCCTACCATAAAAAATAATAATAATAATGTTTCTTTAAAATTAATGTTAACTCTTGGCTTAGAATAGTTTAAAATAAAAGTTTAAAAAGATTGCTTTCTAGACAGAAGTATAAAATTTCTCTGTGCCATAACCTTGTAAGATCACTTTATTGCAGGTATAAATGTTCAAAAAGCGTAAGATCTCCCCACCAACTTCATCTCCATTCTGAAGAAAGCTTATGCTTTACTTTCCTAGTTTTTCTGAAGTTAGTTAAAAGTCCTTCTAGGTAAAACCTATCTCTGTAGCTAACATTTTCTTCCAGAAGCCCCTGGACAAAATCCACTGAGGGATTTTCCTAAAGTATTTCTCCTTCTTTGTATTTTAACTCAAACTCCTGTCAGAAACTATGATCTTCTTTCACCATGAGTTGCCCATTCCTGAAAAGAACCAAGCTCTAAGGAACGTGACTTTCTTCATTAACATCAAGATGTAATTACCCTATGTACTTGTCTTGTGTGAGAGAGTGTCAAGTTCAGGTCACTATGGGTAGGACAGTGTACATGCCTACATAAAATTACTCAGATTTGCTTTCCTTATGGACCAGTATTTGTGGTAGTGATTATTTTACAAGAGAAAAGGCACATTTATGACTTTGCCAATGGTATATTATTGAATTAAATGTTTTATTTGTATCTGATTTCCGTTGTCATCCCTCTCTTACCATTCTTACCCAGACCCAGACCTGCTGCATTCATTTGCAGTGGCTTCCAGGTTAGGGATTGACAGTTGTGAGCACATAAACAGGTAACATGTTAGACCATTCAGTATAGCAAATCATTAGCCTTGGGATGCCATTTGACTTTTCTTTCTGCTATTCTGTTTTTGGTGTTGTTTTTTTTTTGTTTGTTTGTTTTGTTTTGTTAGGCAATTAGGGTTAAGTGACTTGCCCAGAGTTACACAACTACCAAGTGTTATGTGTCTGAGGCTGGATTTGAACTTGAGTCTTCCTGACTCCAGGGCTGGTGCTGTATCCACTGCGCCACCCGGCTGCCCCTGTCTTTCTGCTATTCTGTCACTAGAATAACCTGGCTGCTTTTTTTTTTCCAGTTCCCAGCTACTATCCTGAAGTCTCATTCTCCTTTAACTCTCTGAGCATCAGTTTCCTCATCTATAAAATGGGAATAATAATAATAATAATAATAATAACAACCATAGTACTCCCTCACTGTTTTTTTTCAAGTCATTGATGACTTGCTTTTACACAACAGACATTTACTAATAAACCCCATAACCATTAAATCCTCCCTTGTAACAAAGAAAAATAGTTAAATGGAATCAACCAACTGCGCAACAGAATTTAACAGCATCTACAACATTTCATTCCCATAAACTCCACTTTTCTAACAAAAGGAGGGAAGTGTGTTTTATCCTTTTTTCTCCAGAAAAGAGATGGATCATTGTAGTTGATTTGAATTTGACTGATTTTTAGTGTTATTTTTTGTTAATATTCTTGTAGTCATTATTTATGTTGTTCTTCTGGATCTGCATACTTAACTCTCTGTCAGTTCATTCAAGTTGTCCCATATTTCTCTGAATTCCTCATAGTTGTTTCTTATGGTATAATCATATTGGCTTACCCCACAGTTTGTTTAAACCATTCACCACTTTATTTCTAATTTTTGCTACCAAAAAAAGTGCTGCTGTGAATGTGTGTGTGTATATATATATATATATATAGTATGTGTTTGTATGTATGCATATACACACACATATACATATGTGTGTGTATATACATACATACACATATATGCACACACCCATTCTTTTTATCTTTGACCTCCTTGGGGTGATTCACATTGATAGTTCAAAGGGTATGAACATTTTCTTGGACAATCCCAAATTGTTTTCCAGAACAATTGAGCCAATTTACAATTCCACCAACATTTCAGAGAGTTATTGTGAGATAATAAGATAATGTATATAAAAATCTTTACAGAGCTTAAAATGTTATATGAATGTAAGCTAGCATTATTGATATTATATCTTCTGTTTTCCGCTTTCAGAGAGAACATGCTTCTCAGTGCAGGGGAAGCTTACATTTCTTAGTATAACAAACCCATACCTTCTTCATTAGGAGCTAAATTTCTTCTGGGCCAGTTAGCACTTACCCCTTCAGAGGTGAGGATCATGTTTGTGGACTATTTTCTGATGATTGTGCCATATGTGGTTCCATTCCTCACCTCTGTTTGAAGATGGAGATTTCTTAAGTCACCTTAGGTCTGCATTACTGAAATCTAGGCAAACAAAAGGACAGAGTCAGCAAAAACATGTAATTAGAACAGGGGGGAAAATTATACATATTTGCCATCATTCCTTAAATGAGTAAAATCACACCCTCTTCTTTTCCAGCATAGTCCAAAGAAGGCATAGCCCTACCCATAATTTAGAGAGTAGTCCCAAATAGCCATGACTCTGCCCCCAACTGCAAGCTTTTCTTACCTTGACAATTTCTTTATTTCTAGTGACTCGTTTTCTCATGAGTTCATCTGACAGCCAGGTCATCCTGCCCATTCACAGATTTGTAAATAAAATTAAACCTTTACTTTATAGACTTGACATAATGTTTGTTATTTATAACAAGAAAATTACTATCTGCATATTAATATGTAAAATTAAGAAATTTTAATGCCTGAAATTTAAGTATTTTATTATTTCTAGTATTAAAAATATGTATCCATGTAGTGCCTTGGCATAGAAAAGAAATAAGAAAAATCATTGTTCAAGCTATTTTTTAAAAGATTTGGCAAATAATACTATATTTTTTTATTTATTTTAAAATCATACATGCCAAATAAATAAGGGAATGTGATTCTCTGAATTCTGTTAAATTTTAGGTATGCAACATTTGTCCAATTTAAAGTTGTGAAGGTGGATTAGAATATATTTAGATATGGTTACATTTTTTCCTCCTAATGTGAAGCTTTAAACTATATATACTGTGTCTTTATTTTTCTTCAGGTTAAAAAGGCTTTTTTTGCCTTGGTAGCGAATGGTGTTCGAGCAGCGCCACTGTGGGAGAGTAAGAAACAGAGTTTTGTAGGTAAGGAATTTAGGATGGTTAAAAGACAAACTATAAGAAACAGAAAGCCAGGAAATGTTTTACTTTTATTATTTATTTAAGTGGTGCTAATTAGGGAGTTCAAGTGATTTTCCAAATTAGTAAAAATACTGATGAATCTAATTTATGTTTTGATTTCATTTTCTGAATAATCTATATATTGCCAGGAAATTGAAAACAATTTTTTGACTTCTCCCAAATTACAAAAAGTTCCCAATCATTTAATGACTTCTGGTTTCCTAATAGATATATAGTAGACCTACTGCTAGCGCATGTGGATCCAGGACCCAGATCACCACTTGTGTGCTCAGTGTCTACCTAAAATGTCATGCTTAAGTTTTAATTGATTTTTAATATAGGTAGTTGGTAGGTTAGTAATTATGATGACTGGGTTTTGTTTTTATATCATAGGAGTATTTGGGGAGTTTTTTCCCCACCATGTAATCCTCTCCCACCTCCAAAAAAAAAAAAAATAAGAAATAAATCCCTCCTAACAGATAAGCAGTCAAGCAAAACAGATTCCCATATTGGCCATGTCCGAAAGTTTGTGTGTCTTCTACATATTAGTCTGTAACCTCTCTGTCAGGAGGTGGGTAGAATTCTTCATCAGTCTTCTGGAATCATGGGTGATCATTGCATTGATCAGAGTTGATAAGTCTTTCAAATTGTTTGTTTTTACAGTGTTGATGTTATGGTGTAAATTGTTCTCCTGGTTCTGCTCACTTCACTCTACATTAATTTTATATATCTTACCATGCTTCTCTGAAACTATCTCTTTCTCATTTCTGATAGCACAGAATTTCCCAGTTGATAAGGTAGTCCCTTAGTTTTCAGTGCTTTGTAATTACAAAAAAAAAAGCTGTTATAAAATATTTTTGTACGTGTTCCTTGCTTTGATCTCTTGGCCTACATAGGCCTAGTAGTGGTATTACTGGGTTAAAGGGTATATATAACTTAGTAACTTTAAGAGGATAGTTCCCAGATGGCAGAACCAATTCGTAGCTGCACCAACAATGCCTGTTTTCCCAAATTAATCATTTTCCATTTTTGTCCATACTGCCAGTTTGGTGGGTGTGGAGTAGAATCTTAGAGTTACTTTAATTTATTTTTCCCTAGTTATTAGTGATTTGGAGCATTTTTTCATATGGCTAGAGATAGACTGAATTTCTTCCTTTGAGGGACTACCTGGGTATATCCTTTTTTACCATTTATCAATTGGTAAATGGATTTTATTCTTATAAATTTGAATCAGTTCCCTTAGGAACATTTTTAGAAAACTCCTTTTAAAAATTTTAGGAAATTTCAGACTACAGTAACTTTGCATCCAATTTCTTGTCTAGTAAATCTATAAATGAAATAATTTTCCCTTTGAAGCAGCTGTTTTAGTGTACTTCTTAAAAAATTTTCATTTAAGTATCATATTCCTAAAACTGATCACTTTTTTTATTATAAAATGATAAAAATAATTTGTTTTTACCAATGGAGTATATTTTATGGTCATTTATAAAGATATCAGGAACAGTTTTTCCTTCATTTATTTGCAAAATATTATTTCCACTACTCTGAGTTATATAATAGTAACTTGGATTTCATTTGAATTAATGTTCATTTGGGTGTAAGCCTAATTAACAAATGAATGAAATGCAAAATAGCATATTCTATGTTGTTAATAGCATTTAAAACTAATTTTAAAAGAACTTTTTTATACATTTCCTAAGTCCTCATTTATCATCTGAGAATCTTTTCTCGTAGATGTTCATTGTTCTATTTTAACATGTGATTCTTTGTTTCAGGAATGCTAACAATTACAGATTTCATAAATATACTACATAGATATTATAAATCTCCAATGGTAAGTGACACCATCTGTATGTCAGTAATTGAATAAGTATAAATAAAATCTATTCTAAAAAATAAGACTGAGCTTTTTAAGTATAATTTGTTAGTTACTTAAGTATATGAAATTTCAGCATAAATTTCATTTAGTGTACATGAACTGATTATTAGGACTAGGACTTATCTTTTTTAAAGCTTGAAGGAAGAAGTTTCAGGAAAAATTAAAGAAAGCACTTCCTCCCATAGCTGGCATTAAACCTATGGAATTAATCTTTCTAAGAGATTATATAGGTTGAAAATACAAATAACTTCCCAATCATAGCAGATATTAAAGGAGAGTTAGTGATTGTAAGGATGTACTTCAAACCTTTGAGGATAATGCCATAAAGAACAGCTCTCAGTACCCTGTAAAAAACATTCCTTGGAGCTACTGTCAAAGGTAGAATAAAGGACTGGCTGGACCATGGGCCTGAGTCAGTAAAGGACTTCTTCTGTCTTTAAAACATGCCTGATTATTCAAGATAAGAAATATGATAAAACTCTATGAGATTTATTTTATTTCTTAAAAGAATTACAAAGCACTTTAAAGAGGAAGGGATTTTTAACAATCATCTGGTACAACTCTCGAATGTTATAGATGAGGAAACTACAGCCAAGATAGGCTGGAAAGGACCTAACAGGTCATCCAGACCATATTACTGATGAAGAAAAGGAGGCCCAGAGAAGTTAAGTGACTTGCCCATGGTCACACAGGTGATAAATGGCAAAACTGTATTTTTAACCCAAATCCTTTCCCTCTAAGTCCAGTGTTCTTTCCACTATACTGTGCTACCTCCCACAGTCATGCAGGTGGCAAAGGAGGAAATATTAGATAGATGTTAGAGTAATAAGGCCTTTTTTTTAATCCACAGAGGCAAAAGTTGGGGAAATAGTGTTTGTAGGTCAATTATAAAATGAGGAAATACTATATTTATTGTTCAAACTGTAAGTAAGGATAAAGTTTTTAATAATAATGACTGCTAGATTCCTAGAAAGAGGAGTCTATACATCCAGTACATTCACTCTCTCACCACCTCATCCTTAATGCCTTGTAATTTGATTTGTGTGAGGTAATAGATATAGCACTAGATTTGAATCGGGAAGAACTGAGTTTAAATCATGCTCAGGATACCTCCTAGCTGTATGATCCTGGATAATCATAAACGTAATCATTATAACAGTAGCCAGCGTTTGTGCAGCTAGGTCCCTGTGAGTGTGAATAATGAATCCCCTAAAGTGGTGGCATTATGGGATTCCTACTGCATATTTACATTAGGCTAGAATCACTTAACCTTTCTGAACTTTTAGGTTTCCTGTTACATAAAAACGAAGATGATGATGATAATAGCCCTTCACAGAACTGTTGTCAGAGATAATGTACGTAAAACACTAGATAAATATCAGAGGGGGCATCATGGCATAGTATATAGAAAGCCCAGGCATGAAAACAAGAGGCCTAGGTTTCCCATTCTGCCTCTGCCACATGCTGACTGTATGACCACAGGATGTGTGATCACTCAACATCAGTGCCCTTACTAAGTCTCTAAGATCAGAAGTATCATCATCATCATCATCATCATCATCATTATTATTATTATCTCACTACCAGAACTGATATCCCAAAAGTTGCTAGTGTTCTTTTAATTGATTAAATGTTAATGGCCTCTTCTTAGGCCTCATCTTCCTTGTCCTTTCTTTAGCTTTTCAAACTCTTGCACATCCCTCCTCCTGGCTACTTTCTCCTGCCTTGATTTCTATGATATCATTTTCACATGGTTCTCCTTCTCCCTAACTGCTCCTTAGTCTCCTTTGTTGGATCATACCAGAATCACAGAGTCTTGGAGTTGGAAGGGGCCACAGAGTTCATTCATTCTAAGCCATGCCTGAACAAGAATCTCCCCTATAATATAATCATGAAGTGACCATCAGAACTTTGTTTAAAGACCACTAGTGAGGGCAGAATCTCCTAGGTTCCTGAGGCAAAATCCATTCCACTTTTGAATACCTCATCTTGTTAGAAAGTGTTTTCTTACATCAGACTTAAATCTGTGTCTTTTCTCCTTCTACTTATTGCTGCTAGAGGGTCCCTGGAGCCAGCAGAATAAGTCTAATAATTCCCATAAAACCACTTAAAATACTTGAAGACAGCCATTGGGTCTCCCCTGAGTCTTCTCCAGGTTAAACATTCCCTTTTCCTTAAACCAATCCTCATATACATGACCATGATGTCTTTCATCACCTACTTTCTAACTTATCAGTGCCCCTCCTCAACTATGGTACCCAGAATAGAATTCCACTATATTTTAGTATATTCTAGATGTGCTCTGACCAGAGAAGAGGACAGTTTGGCCATCCTCTCCCTAATCCTAGACATAATATCTCTCTTAATGGAACCTAAGATTAAATTAGCTTTTTTGGCTGTTACAGGACACTCCCAGTCTCTAAACTTGGGTAACTCCTAGAGCTCATCTTGGACCTTCTCCTTTCTACGCTTCCTTACTCCCCATGTCAAATTAGCCACCAATTCAATTCAACTTAATAAATAGTTAATAAGCTTCGGCTATGTGCCTGGCACTGTGCTAAGTGCTGGGGATACAAATAAGAAAAAGATATTCCCTGCCTTTGTGGAGCTTACAATCTAATGGGAGAAGAAAATATACAAAAGGAAGCTGGAAATTGTGTGTGGAGGGTGAGGGGAGGGAACGGAAACCAGGAGCCATCTTGTTCTGTGGAGTTTAGACCAAACAGAGCTGCAAATGCATTGTGGAGTGAGCTGCAATGTTCAGGTTCTGCCCTCTCCAAAGGATGGCTTTGGGTGGAGTTGAGTGTACCACTCTCCAGCCCTCCAGTCAAAGAGAAGAAGAGGCTGAGGGAAGTAGGAAAGTGTTGAATATCCCAGGCTGAGTTAGGAGCATGGTGGTGAAATCAGAAGTGATGACCTTATCCTGGGAGGGGCATCTTGTTCCATGGAGTTGAAACTAGGCAGAGCTGAAGATGCAAAGTAGAATCCTGTCACTTTTGCCTCCACATCTCTCCCATTTATCTCTTTTCTTTGTTTACGTGGTAACCAACCCAGTCAGGTTCAGCTTCTAACTAGCACTTACCAAGATTACTATCATAGTTTCTTAATTGACCTTCTTCTCTCCTCTAGTCTCTCCCCTTGCCAATCTTCATATAATTGTCAAAATTGTCCTTAAAAGATTCTTTAAGGAGTAAATGTTTTATTGATAATTTTACATCACCATCCCTTCCCAATGCACTACATTCCCCTCATGAATCCTTTGTAAAAAAGAAGTTAAGCATAAAACCCTAACGATAGGCCATCGTGTGCTTTATTCTGTACCTTTAGGCCACACCTGTGGAGGTACTGGAGGGATGATTTACTATCAGTCCTCCGGAGACAAAATTTGTTACTGCATTATTAAGAATTCAGAAGTTTTCAGTCCTTTTTCTTTTGTATTATTGGAGTCACTATGTCTTGTTCTCTTGGTTCTGCTTATCTTTACTGTGTATTAGTTCATACGTATCTTTCCAAGTTTCTCTGAGTTCTTCATTTCTTTAAGCACAGTGATATTCCATTTCATTTACACACTACAGGTTACTCTGCCATTACCCAATTAATGGATTACTTATTTTGTTTCCAGTTTTTTGTTTTTGCTACTACAGAAACTGCTGCTATAACTATTTTTGCATTTGTGGGACCTTTCCTTCTGTCTCTGATTTCCTTAGGATATAAGCCCAGTAGTGAAATGAAAGGGTGTGTACACTTTAGTGACCTTTCTACTTTAGATCCAAATTGTTTTCCAGATGATAGAATGAATTCACAACTCCACCAACAGTGCATCAATGTACCTGTCTTCCCAAAACCCTTCTAGCATTTATTATTTTGTTTTTTGGCATTTTTGCCAATCTAATGGGTGTGAACCTCAGAGTTATTTTCATTTTAACTTCTCTCTGGTGACTACAGCATGATGCAAAGGTGTAAGCATAGGACTAGGAATTGGGAAATAGAGTTTCTAGTCTGAATTTTTATACTAATTAGCTGTGTGATCTGGACAAGTTACCTTATCTCTTTGGGATTAAAATTTTTTATCTATAAATTGATGTGATTGGACACGATGATCTCTCTAAAACCCCTATCAGCCATAAAATTTTAATTACTTTATTAATTATTTCTAGTGTTAAGAAACTTTATACATGTAGTAGCTTTAGGTCATTTACCACAAGCTCTCTCTTCTCTTCTTCTCCTCATATCACAAACCCTTCATATCCTCTCCTACAATTTTCTCCTTTAATCCAGTCTCTTATGAATAGGTGGCCATTCTACTCAAGGGCAACCCTTCTAATGTATCCTTGATCCCATCCCCCTCTTTTCTATCAGATTGCCCTCTCACTCTCAAATCTTCAATCTCTCCATGTCTACTGACTCTACCTCCTGTTAACAAATATGTGCAAATCTCCTCTATCCTTAATGAACATCCTCCCATCTCTCCAAGTATCATCCTATATTCTCAGCCAATGTCTTGTGAAAAACTTGTCTACTTTTACTGCTTCCATTTCCTCTATTGTTCCTGCTTTCTGAACCCTCCAAGATCTGGCTTTGAATCTCAGCACTCAATTAAAATTGTTCTCTCCAAACATAGCGATGATCTCTAAATTGCAACATCTGATGGCCTTTCCTCAGTCCTTTCACTTCTCTGCATCATTTACCCTGATGACTACCGTTTTCACTGGGATACTTTCTCTTCTCTGGGTTTCATGACATTGCTATCTCGTTGGTCTCCTTCTACGTTGTCCATTCTTCAGTCTCCTTTGCTGGATCTTCGTTCATGTCATACCTACCAATTGTGGATATCCTCCAAGGCTCTGCCCTAGGCCCGCTTTACTCCTTCACTCCTTCCCTTGATGATTCTCCATAAAAGGATTTGTTCTGTGAAGTTTGGACTCATTCCAAGGGCTGTACTTGAGGACCTAGAGGGCCACGTGTGGCCTTGAGGCTGCAGGTTCCCCACCCCCTGGTAACCAAACTGGCCTTCTTGCTCTTCCTCACACATGGAATTCAATTTCCCATGTCTTGACCTTTGCCCTGGCTGTTTCCCATACCTAGAATTCACTCTCCTCATCTCTGCATCTTGGAATCCCTGGTTTCCTTCAGGACTCAGTTCAAGCATTCACCACCTTTTTCATGAGGTCTTTCCTGATCCTCCCAGCAGTTAATTCCTTTCCCCTGAAAGATCACCCTACCTGAATGTGCTTTGTATATACCTACATATGGGTATATTGCTTACCTGTTAAAATGTGAGTGTAGGATAGAATTTGAGGGTAGGGATTGTCTTATTTTTGTGTCTTCAGCAACTAGCACAGCATCTGACCCTAATGGGTGCTTAATAAATACTTGATTGGTGATGCAATTGGGACAGTCCATCAAAAGCCTTTTTTTCTTTTGTTAGTTTTATCACTGGTGCATTTACTAGCAATAGATGAAAGATTCTAATCTAACAGCAGATTTTCCATTTTGGCACTATAACCCATAGAGATTCATCTATTAGATGAGGTATTTATTTATACCTAATCTTGAGCATACGATAGCAGATCAGTTGCTACTGTATATTCAGGGTATTAACTGTTGGCTTCTGGAGCATTCCTGCCTCTTCCAACTTCTCCAACTTCTCTGTCTCCTCGACTTGTTCTTCTTCCTTCTTTGCTCAGCCCTCTGCCCTCTTTTCTCTATATAGCCTCCTTTGGAGATCTTAATCTACTCTTATCACTTCATTTGACTAAATGTAGCTTGGCTAAAAATGTAGAATCAGAAATTATGCCTTCTCAGTCAGGATCTAGCACTATGTATTCAGATTGACCTATCAGGTTTTTCAAGACCTCCATAATCATATTTCCTATTTTACTCCTTTTTTCTCCAAAACAAATGTTCGACACTTATACTCAGGGTGATATCCTCTCTATCCAACAAACGTCCCTTTCCTATCTTTGTGCCTTCATCTACATTGCTCCTCCTTTCCCCTCCCAGATGGCCTTTCCTTTAAGGTCCAATATAGGTCAGCACTTCCTTATAGTCTACTCTTCCTTGAGTTTCTATAGTACTTGGAGGCTGTTACCACATTTGTTAAAGGTAACCATATTGTTCCTAGTACTTAAGACTAAAATACTAAAATCAGTCTGTGATCTCATCAGTTCACAAGTTCCCTCCAAAGATGAAGCCCACCAGTGCTGTGCTGCAGGATTCTTGTCTCCCACCTCCCATGTTTACAGGCTACCAGCCATGCTGGAAGGGCTCTTTGAAGCTCTTCCCGGCCACACTACTTGATTATTTCATGTGTATATAGCTTGTCTCCCCAACTTCATTTTTACCTTCTTAATAGTAGAGAACATGTCTTACTTCTGTAAACTCCTTAGCAACAAGAATAGTGCTCAGTTTGTAGCAGGTACTCAGGAAAAATTTGTGTGGCTGATAGAGTCCGCGTAGTAAATAATGGTATATCACTAAACTCACTTTCAGCCTGTGACTTTATTGGTGGTTTTTCTTTCATTCTCAAAAATGTTATCTTCCATGTCCTTAGAAAAAGACACTGTGAATGCTGTAATTCAGACTTAATAAGTTAGAAGATTTTGTGAACTAAAGTTTATATAACAAGGTACTGATTTAGTATGTATACTTTGAATTTATAGAGCATTTTCTTAAGCAACTCAAAACACTTTATATATTTCTCACTTCATCTCACAGCATTCCAGAATTTTCATCTTAATTATCTGCTGAATTGTTGGTTTCTAATGAGGTTGTTGCATCTATCAGAATATCCTTTTTTTCTTGCCTGGTGTTTCCCATATGTAAATAGACACATGCAAAAGACTTTTCCTTCCTTGTTTCAGGTACAGATTTATGAATTAGAAGAACATAAAATTGAAACGTGGAGGGGTAAGCATCATATTTAATTGCTAAGAATCTAATGTCTTGTAAAAAAAATTTTTGACTTAGGCTTTCTATGTAAATAGACCTTTCCCCCTTCAGTTCCTTTTCTCTCTATTCAAGAATAAAACATGTTAATGAAAACAGCATTTTTTTCCCTTTCAGAATAGAGATTTGGTTGGTGTGTAACAGAAGGCAGCGAAATCCATTAAGTAACAGATTCAAATTCAGCAATGGTTTCCTGTGTTATATAACCTTGAGCAAATTACTTGAATTACCTTGGCCTCTGCTTCCCTGTGCAAAATGGGCCTGGTTCACTCAGCTGTTTTCACAGAGTGATTGCAGAAGGCTTTATAAATTATGTGGGGCACGAATTTTTTTGTAATTGCTAAGCAGTAAGGTAGGTATTTCTTTTAAGAGGGTGACTTTGGATTCTGAAATGTAAAATGAGTAAGAGATTACCCACTTCACAGGTTGTCTCACGGATCAATTGTGATAGATAGAGTGTAAGAATATTATAAACCTTAACGTGCCACGTAGAAGTCATCATCAGCGTCATCATCTTCAATCAGTAACTACTTTTAATACAGAGCCCTTTATTCCAGGCAATTCTTATACTAAATTTACATTCTCAAATTAAAGTAATACTACCTCACATTTGTATAACACCAATTTATAAAACACTTTCCTTGCAACAACTCAGTTTAGTGTAGGGTGCAAATATTTATCCCCATTTTTCACATGAGAAAACCAAAGATACAGAAGAAGATAAGTGACTTGTCCTTGGTCCAGGATGCTTTCCACAATACCATACTGCTGCTGTTACCATTAAATATTTATCTTTGTGCTAAAGGTGTAGAAAGAATAGTTGCCTTAGAAGAAATATGTATATACTTTTATTTAAAAGTTAATAATTATCTTTTAGGTGGCACAGTGGGTAAAATGCCAGGCCTGGAGTCAGAAAGATTCATCTTTCTGAGTTCAGATCTGGCCTCAGTCACTTATACAAGCTGTGTGACCCTGGGCAAGTCACTTAACCCTGTTTGCCTCACTTTCCTCATCTGTAAAATGAGCTGGAGAAGGAAATGGCAAACCACTCCGGTATCTTTGCCAAGAAAACCCCAAATGGGGTCATGAAGAGTCGGACACAACTGAAAAATAACTGAGCAACAACAATTATCTTATCTTACGGTTTTCTAAAAAATGCTACATAAATGATCCCTGAACTAGGTTATTTGAGTCATGTTACCTGAAATATGTCTTTTCACCTTTAATAGAATTTTCCCCAGGAAGAGCTTGTACTTGAAGTTTGTTTGTTTTGCCATATTATCCGCTGCTAGAATGCTCTTATCTGATATAAACCATTTGCAAGGAAATTAATTGCATAACTATGAAATTAGTCTTTGTTAAAATCTGATCATAACTATATTACTTTGCTTAATTCAAGAAGCATTTATTGGGTGTCTGCTGTATGTAGGAACATAGTTGGGGCTATGTGGAATACAAATGAAGTACTAGAAAAGGTGGCCTCAGGGATGTGTTAGAGCCAGGTTGTGTTGTCTCTCAAGAGCTGATTGTTAAATTTTGAAAGTGAGCATTTATGCGTCAGTATTTGCAGAAGTGCAAATCAGGGTTTGGTTTATTGTTTTATTGATTGTCTATGCTTAAGAAAGTGATGGATAAAATGTTAATAATGCAGATTAAACTTTAAAATGTGTTGTGCAAAAATTTTTTTTTCCTGGAGAACTGGTTGTGAAGCATTTACCAGAACACCTCCCCTTAGACCCCTTTCCCTTGGTTAGTTAAAGTTGAGTAAGGGAAGCAAGACACACATACATGATAAACCCAGATGTTACAAGTGAACAAAACCAAATAGGAGACAATGTGATTCGGATTGTATATAGTTAGATCAGAATGGGCAAGGTAGGGCAAGTCATCAAGGGCTTCTGGGAGATGAATCATGAAACTGTTTTCAAAATAAGTTAGGATTTAGAACAGGGAGGAAGGGAAAGTAAATTCCAGAAAAAAGCAAATAGTATGAGAGTCTAGTAGTGGAAAATAATGTGGCATGTTAAGCAGATAATGAGGAAACCAACCTTATTGTAGAAAGATACTGGGTTAGTGAGAGAAACTGATTAGAGAAACCAAATGTGTCTCCTTCGTAGATTACTGCATCTGAGGCTGCAGAGTTTAACTTGACACTCTGCATACACTGAGCATTCTTTGGATCCCATATTACTGTGTATAACTCCCTAAATGGAATTCCTAAAGTAGTTATTGTCATTCAAAGATGGTATTCAAATGACTTATTTGGAAGTTTCATTTAGAGGTAAAATTATTTTCATAAATGATGATACTCAAAATGATCTGTAGAAAGTCAGGCTAAAGAAATTAAATATCACATCAACAGCTATAATGCTGTCCTTGGGGTCCATGAACTAGAACAGAAGTTCTTGCCCTTTTTTATGTTATGGATCCCTTTGGCAGACTGGTGAAATCTATGGACCCCTTCTCAGAATAAGATTCTTTTTTAAAAAAAAAAATTTCAATTGAAAGAAATCCTAAATTTTATTTAGAAGTTAGAGAAAATAAAGATGTAATTTTGCCATCCAAGTTCATGGACCCCCAGAAATCTATTTAGGAACTCCAAGTTAAAAATCTACATCCTGGAACCATTTTAACAGCAAAAGTCAAGTGCCAGGCACTGTGCCGAGTACTAGGAACTCAAAGACAAAAACATACCCTGCCCTCAAGGAGCTCACATTTTTAACAGGGGAGACAGCATGCAAACAAACATGTAAGATATATACAGGGTAAATAGATGGTAATTTCAGAAGAATTTGAGTTAGAGACTTAAAGGAAGCTAGGGAAATTTTGGGGTGGAGATGAGGAGGGAGAGATTTCCAGGCATGGGGGACAGCCAGTGAAAAATCAGGGATCTGGGAAGTGGTATATCCTATTAAAGTTACAGCAAGCAGGCCGGTATTGTTGGATTATTAAGTTGAAAGGGGTAACGAAGGTAGGAATGAGCCAGGTTAGCAGCTAGATGGTGAAGTGAATAGAATACTGCACCTGGAGACAGGAAGACCTAAGGTCAAATCTGCCATTAGACACTTACTGTCTGTGTGATCCTGAGCAAGTCACTTAACTACTGTCTGCTTCAGTTTCCTCATCTGTAAAATGGGGGGTCATGATAGCACCTTCTTCCCAGTATTGTTATGAAGATTAAATGAGATAATATTTGTAAAGCACTTAGCACAGTGCCTTGTGTATGGTAGGTGCTTAATAAATGCTTGTTTCCTTCCTTTCTTGGAAATGACTTTAAAAGCCAAACGGAGTATTTTATGTTTGATCCTGGATGTAATGGGGAGCCAATGGAATTTGAATAAGAGGGGTGGAGGAGAGTGACGTGACCAGGCCTGCAATTTAGGCAGATCACTTTGGTAGCTGAGTAGAGAATGGACCAAATTGAGGAGAGATTTGAGGCAGGAACATTAATCAGAAGGCTATTGCAGTAGTTCAAGTTTGAGGGGATGAACCACCCTGAACCAGGGTGGCAGCTATGTCAGAGGAGAAAAGAGGGGTATGCAAGAGGTATCGTGAAAGTAGAAATGACCAGATGTGGCAATAGATTGGATATGGCAGGCGTGAGTAAGAGTGAAGAGCCAAAACTGACTCCTCAATAGAGAAGCCTGGGTGACTGGTAGGATGATGGTGCCCCACACAGTAATAGGGAGGTTTGGAAGACAGCAGAGTTGGGAGAGAGAAAAGATAATGAGTTCAGTTTTAGATATGAGTTCAAGTTGTCTAATAGGCAGTTGGAGTTGCAAGACTAAAGGTCAGGGCAGTGCTTAAAACTGGATAAATGGATCTGAGAATCATCTGCATAAAAGGTGATGGTTGAATCTATGAAAGCTGATGAGCTCTCCAAGTAAAATAGGATAGAGGGAGAAGAAAAGCTTTGTCCCAGGACAAAGCTTCAAGGGCCACCTACGATTAGTGGTCATGACCTAGATGAATATCCAGCAAAGGAGACTTAGAAGAAGTGGTAGAACGAGAACCAGGAAAGAGCACTGTCACAGAAGCCTAGACACAGCATGATCAGCATTATCAAAGGTTTCGGAGAGGTCAAAGATGAGAACTGAGAGAAAGACATGAAGGGACCATTGATAACTTTGGAGAAACACTTTACCTGGATCATTTTGGTACTTTTATAATTTAAGCCTGAAGACAAAGTCTCTTTATGCTAAGTCCCAGTATATGAATAGATTACAGTGAGTTCCTAGACGAGTATTAATCTGTTGGATTTAAGGGAAAAATTTAGTACAACAAGTATCATCACAGTGAAAACTTGTGTTAGAGAAAAATTCTCAAGGCCTGGCTGACGGCCACTCATTTTAAATGGTGTTCAATAAAACAAAATTCTAGTATAGCAAAATGATATAGTTGTCACTTTGATGTTTTCTATTACTGAATTTGGTCTAGAATTTGACTCTTAACCTGCAAATGTTTAATGCAGTATTTTTTTTCAAGATATTACATTATGGAGTTCTAGTGACCTCTGCTGGTATGATGATCATATTATTTGATCTTAGTTCCAGATTTTTAGTGTCTTTTGTGATATTGTTTTTTAAATATTTAATTTTCCTTTAAGGGTAGCTCACCAAAGTAGAATCTAGAAGGTTGGGTTTTTTTTTTAACACTATGTAAATATAATTTAACACAAAATCTTTGAATGAGTTGCATTTCTTTGATTGGAGCTATTCATCCTTTTAATTTTAGTCCAAGAATTTATAGAGATGCTTAATTTATGTGCCAGTAATAAACTGTGTAGATCATCTTGCTAACTACAGATTTTCTTTTCTTAAATACAGAACTTTATTTACAAGAAACATTTAAGCCTTTAGTGAATATATCCCCAGATGCAAGGTAAGCTTATTTTTTAACTTTAAAAAAATACTTATTCAGTGTTATCTATTTTGTTAGTATGGAACTGAGTGCAGATTGAAGCATAAGTTTTCACTCTGTTTTTCTTGGGGTTTTTTGTGTTTTCCTTTGCAACATAGGTAATATGGAAATATGTTTTATATGAATTCACATGTATAGTCAATATCATATTGTTTGTCTTCTCGAGGGATGGGTGAGGAGTGAGAGGGAGGGAAATTGGAATGTAAAAAAATTTTAAATGAATGTTAAAAAATTTAAATGTAATTGGGAACTATTTAACGAAATTATTAAATATATCAAAGAAAAAAATTATTGGTATGATAAATTGACAGTTATGTAAAACCTGTCATTAAATTCTAAAGGCATGTCACTAGCCAAATTGAAATTTTAAAAGTGAATAAATTGGGGCAGCGAGGTGGCGCAGTGCATAGAGCTCCAGCCTTGGAGTCAGGAGGACCTGAGTTCAAATCCAGCCTCAGACACTTGACACTTGCTAGCTGTGTGACCCTGGGCAAATCACTTAACCCCGATTGCCTCACCAAACAAAAAAAAAAAAAAAAAAGTGAGTAAATTTAGGGTTGACATCCAGTTTGACAAAGAGGAAACATCATAACATAGTTAGATAGTTCCTTCCATGTTCTAAGGACATTAGCTTTTGATGGCTCAAAGGTTTAATGATGGTCTAAGAAGCTTTAATTTGTAAATGAACAAAAGAACAAACTGCCCTTCATGTAACATTCTCTGGGATGATTCTGTGTATAAATCCTAGTAAAAAGGTACACTCACTGGCTTTCTTATAGGCAGCCTTAAGAAAGGCCCAGAGTTGAACAGGAGACCTAGACATACAGGGTATGCCTGATTTTCTACAAGGTCAGAATTGAAACCATTAACTCATTAATGCCAAACACCTGTTCATTTATTATATTTGATTAGTGTCTAACAATCTTGTGTGCAAGTATACCACTTATTCATTTTCAGATAAAATTTTAGATTAACTTTAGACATTCCTTGTACTGGCTTCTCTGGAGATGTTTAAATTTCCATCGTACCTCTTTCTTTACTTGCATCTGAGATTTATTAACATACCCTGTGAAAAATCAAGTGCTATCCATATTTGGGTTCCATTACATAGATATAAACAAGTGAATTTGCTGTGATCTTCTTCAGTATAAAAATTTTTCAAAACACATTTAAATTTGATTCATGTTTTAAGTTTTTGTAATGTTTCTCTTTAGGTAATGCTCTAAAAGTCTTGTGATTTCTCCACCATCAGAATCTGCTAATAGCTTTGATGCTTTTTCCACAGCCTCTTTGATGCTGTATACTCATTGATCAAAAATAAAATCCACAGATTGCCAGTTATCGACCCTGTCAGTGGGAATGCACTTTATATACTTACCCACAAAAGAATACTCAAGTTTCTTCAGCTATTTGTAAGTAGTTTTTAGTATTTCTACAAGACATAATTAGTTGCATTTGCTTCAATTAATTGACTTCAAATAAATAAAACCACTCACCATTAATAAGGTAAACTGTTAGTTGAGAAATCTTCATTTCTAAACTTGTTTCTCATCTCACTATACAAAACTCACGGCATATACTCAGACTTCTTGCCAATAAACAGTTTAACTTTTCTTGCAAATATGGTCATATGTATAGTTCTAACATCTAATTTGAATTATTTTCCTCTCCCTCATACAAAATATGTAGAGAAACAGAGGGGACCTGGAAAAAATCCTTTTGTTTAAGTATGTGGAAATATTAGCATATGAGAAAAGAAAGCAGATTATGCAGTGTTTTCTAGTGCTTTATGGAGCTGTGTTTTTAGAAATATTTGTACAGAAAGACGTTATAGCCAGAGTTACTTTTTAAAGTGGAGTGGAAACAGAGAAACCCAAAGAAAGCAAAATTTTTAGGAAATAGAATGTCATACTGGTCCAAATTTAGGGGTGTAAATTTGTGGGCTACATTTGGTGGCCTTTGAAATGAGATGATCTCAGTTATAGATACATGCCCACTACTTAAACTCCTTCAAAATTATCACTAAGTGGTGGTTTGGCAATCAGAAGAAAAACACAGAAATAATTCGGGAGCTTGACTAGTTATGAGTGATTTTTTTGAAAACCTTCTATCATTAAATTTGAAAATATAAGCAATATGGTAAGCATAAATAGTGAGAGTCTTAGTGATAGTTCAGAAGAGTTAATGTAAGTCATGAGATATTAATCTGCTACAAAAATGCTTTTCTAGTCTTTTTCACCTGAGCTCCATTTTAGAAAAAAAGTCCATCAAGCCAGTGTGAAACGCCCCTCTCACTGGGATCTTTCTGGTTACCCGTTATCATCAGGATTGGAGGCTTAGTGCTTGAGAGAATTGCTGGAAAAGACATTTTGTTATTGTTCATAATGATAATGGCTCTCACTTAACTAACACTTGTCTGTTCACAAAGCTCTTTCCTCACATCCATGTGAGGTGATGCAAGCACATACCCCTTTTACATATAAGGATGCTGACGGTCCTAGAGTTTAAATGACTTGCCCAAATTCACAATGGTATCATGCGACAGCTCTGCAGTTTGATCTGATCTTCTGACTCCAAGGCCAGTGCTTTTTCTCCTTTTTTCCATGGAGCCTTTTTGATTTGCTTGTGTTTCAAACCAAGCTTGGGACCAAAACCTTCCTTGACTTTTGCCATGACTTGACTAAAAGCTCAATATGCAAATTTTGCTTTTTATATTTAAATGGATGCTAAAGAGGAAAATGAGAAGGATTAGAGAGATTTGTAGAACATTAAGCTTAATAAAGAAATGTGATATTAAAAAAAATTATACAAGGAAAGTAGATTACTCAGTATTCCTAAAAGAGAGTGCCTGTCTCCTGGTAAGCAAAGACTTTATTCTAAGTCATTTTCTAAGGAACACAGTAGAGCTTAGTAGTTGAAGTTTAATCAGATGGCCAGGTTATAAAGTGTTTTGGGTGCTGTAGTACTGTGAAAGGAGCAAATCAAAGTTTAAAAATCATTTTATATGACATACTTATACCACATTGTATTTGGGCTAATTTGGTAATTAGGTAATCATGGTTTTTGAATTAAAATTAGGAGTTAGATAAAATTCAAAAAAAAAAAAGAAAATATAAATCTAATGAAACATTTTGAGCCTAATCTTTACCAAATTAAAAGATAATTTTCTTTAGGTGATATTGCCCCTTTGTATATTTACCCAAAAAAGCCCAAGATATCATATAGTGTACGGAACAATTCCTATACTAAGATGGACTAGATGACCTAATAGGTCTTTCTTTTTTCTCTAAATTTCTAGGATTCTCATGCTTTGAATATTGATGAACTCTTTGACTTGAACATTTTGTTTCTTCTAATTGTTCATCTTTTCCTGATAATTATAAGGTACACCAGGAGGATGGAATCAACTGTACCCTTTCTAAAAGGTGGATTTTTCAAACAGTAGACCTTGTTTTGTTATAGTCAAAAATGCCCCTAGGTCTTTCTCTTCTGATTTCTCCCTCCTCCTATTACTCCTTTAAAAATAGCCCACCTTGAAAGAAAAGTTATTTTTTTAAGTCTAAGTCCTGTTTTATTCTCTGAGGTAACTAGCTCATCCATGTAAGCTGATAGCATTCAGAAGAGAATTCAGTGTATAGAGGTGGAGTGGTATGAAGATTAATTTAGTTTATGCCTAGAATAGCCACCAACAGATGCTTTGAGTAGTAGGTATGTGGGCCCTTACTAAGTAATATTTGATGCTGACAGCAGGATCAAAATAGAATTCTTAGCAACAAAGGAAAATTGGTGGCCTACAGGTCTTAATTTCCTAAATAAAGCTGTTGCTTCCTTCTTCTACCCACCATTTTTTAGCCAACTAAGAGAGAGGGGAGAAAACAATATTAAACACCTGATTTTATTCAATATTTTATAAAAATGTAACAGTACCAAATATCAGTATTTAATATCTTAACGTAAATTTGTTTGAAGAAATGATAACATTTTTATGTGTAACTTTTTCATGTTAATTCAGACATACAGTTAGATTGTTAGAAAAGACTAACTTCAATTTGCTTATACCTACTTTTTCACTCAAATCTGGGCATTTGAACACAAAGGTGTATTTTGGTTTGCTGGAGCATCTACATTTATCTTCCTGTCTAGGTGTCTGAGATGCCAAAGCCTGCCTTCATGAAACAGAACCTAGATGAACTTGGAATAGGAACATACCACAACATTGCCTTTATACATCCAGACACTCCTATCATTAAAGCCTTGAATATATTTGTAGAAAGACGGATATCAGCTTTGCCTGTTGTGGATGAGTCAGGTTTGTATATTTAACCATGGCAATGTGAATAGAAAAAACTTTATTATCTACAAATGGAAAACAAATGTTTAATTATAGGCCACTTAGTCCTAAGCATCCTTAGGTACTTAGTACATCAAATAAAGATTTATTAAATATATGTAGAACATGAAATCTGTCAAGTATCAAATGAAAGGTGTTCACTCCCTTCTCATATTATATTGTATTTATGTGCACATCGCATTCCCCACAGTGGAATGTAAGCTCTTTCAGGGCAGAGCTTAGGATAGTGTTTTATACATAAGGAGTTTGGGGGTTCTTTTGGTCTAGACATGTAATTTCATTGGCACAGGGAACTCCAATGAAGAAATCCCCTCTACCAAAGCAGATTGGCCTCTGCTTTTTAACTTGTGGTCTTAAAATGTTGTCCAAGGTCCTGAGTGGTTAAATTGACTTGCCCAACCAAGGTCTTACAACTCATATGTATCCGGAGAAAACCTTGAACCCAGGTGTAAATGATTCCGAGGCAGTTCTCTATCTACTATCCCATGACTTCACTGCCTTATGGGTATTAAATAAATGTTTAAGTAAATTGAGTTAAATTTTTCAATTTAATTTGTATGTGGTAAGTAAACCCTGAATCCAAATAAGATGACCAGGAAAATAATCATATTATCTCCTTATTTCCATATTCTCTACTAAGATATGTAATTTCATGACCATTTAAACATATTTAATTTTTTATTCCTAGTGATCCTATTTTGACGTATCATATGAAGACTATTAGGAAAATGAGCTTCTGATTTGTGTCTAATACATTTTTCTAATGTGCATTTTCACTTCTAGGAAAAGTTGTAGATATTTATTCCAAATTTGATGTTATAGTAAGTATTTTTTATTTTCTCACAACTCAGATCTAGAATGCATTTTAAAACCTAATCTAGTCACTAATTTATGCTTTTTGCTGCTATTCACTTCTTTTATAAATGAAAATAGCCAATTTTATTAAATGAAATAATGTTAAAGCCCATTTATTTAAAACTCCTATGTTTTGATAATCCATTTCTCCATGCGTTCTTTCTTTATGTTTTTTATGAAAAGGGGGGGCTCGGATATATGTATTCCATAAGATGCTATAATGGCATACCATTTTTAGTTGCATTGTTGGCTCTGTTTAACCAATAGAAGGTTATTGAAAATACCTTAGCAGTTTTGTAACTGTAGGCCTTTCTGGCTTAACTCTGAGACAAGCCTTCATTGGTATGTATTTGAACCAAGGACCCTTAAAGACCACAGGGAACTGCCTCCAGGGGCTCTATTCTTGATTAGTCTAGGAAACCCCAGGGTGGTTATAGGCAAGTTTGTCCCCATTCCATTGTACTCCCACCACTAAAGTTTTAATCCATTCTTTTGCTAGGAGCTTTCTGGAATTCATTAGAAGCCTCCAAGGTCATTCAGATCTCCAGGAATTTCCTCCTGCCCTTAGCATTATTGTTGGCTGCATATGGTTCCCCAAGCCTTCCACAATATAAACCAGCACCCTTAGAACAGTTAAAATTACTCCTAAGCAAGTGAATGATCATTTGGCACTCTGGCCCCCTGACAGCTTTCTGGCTAGTTAAGTTAATCCTGTGTATACCTATTGGTCCACTGGTCCATATTCCATCAGAGTATGATACTTTACTAGCAGCCAAAAAAAGGAAACATTAATTTTGGGGTAGAGGAAACAGTTGCATTAGTATTAGACACAAAATAATATATATTCTCTAGTTATTATTGATCACAGCTATGCAGTAACAATAATTTTGGCTGTATTATAAATTGGTAGAAACATTTTGTTCTACTTTGGTACTTAATCATCAAAAAAACTGTTGCATGTGTAGTTTAGGTTTTTTAAGTTACTAATTTTTTTTATCATTAGAGTGATTTGAAATCATAGGATTTGACTCTTAATTACTTTTTCATAGAACCTTGCTGCTGAAAAAACATATAATAACCTAGATATCACAGTGACGCAAGCCCTTCAGCACCGTTCCCAATATTTTGAAGGTGTTGTGAAGTGCAGCAAGCTGGAAACACTGGAGACCATCGTGGATAGGATAGTAAGAGCTGAGGTGAGATCACTTTGTATCTTTCTGTAAAACCTTTTTTCAGGTCAGCATGCAGGAGGCAGTGCTAAATAGTACTTCAATTCCTTCTGAAACAATACAGACTATGGAAGGTAATCTTCAAAGTCAGTTTGGGACAAATCTCTTTTCTTCTCATAGCAGAGTTGAATCCACAATATTTAAAAGATTCTTTTCACAGTTTAAAAAAAAGTCCTTGAGAAAAATAGTTACAGCACATATACATTGCATCAGGATATTTAAAAAACTTAAAGATATAAAATCTCAGAATTGGAAGAGACCTCTGAATCTGGCTCCCACCTAAAGCATAAGTGCCCAACAAGTATTCATTCAAATTCTGCTCAGAAACCTCCAGTGGTAGTGAGATATAATGTGTGTGACATTAACTAAGTAAAGCATGACCCTAATCATCTCCCAACAGTTTCTTCACCTCTAAATCTGGTGTAGTATATACTCCTGCAACTTATAAATTCTACAACACTTAGCAACTGCCTATGAATATAGAGAACATTTTGAATGTTCTTTTCACTTAAGGGACTTTCAAAACACCACTCTTTTCATGTCAAACCTGAGAAGAAATTATTTTTCAATGTATCATAATTCTAAAATATTCTTAAAACATAGTGCTCAGGAGATAAGACCTTATTATCAGCCATTGGAGGAGGGAGAAAAGTATGTCTCATCTCCAGCAATTCATTAATTAGACAAAACAAATAATAATAAATGATGTAGTATGCTGTTTAGTCTGCTTTGATATCCCACTGTAAATGCCTTCCATCACCACAATAGAATGAGACTAAATGGAAAATTTCTAAATGGAAAAGTAGCTAATTATTTTTCATGCTAGTAGCTTTACATGGAGCTAACTTTTAAAATCTGTCTCTAAAAATGAAACAGAATATATGCTTCAGACAAAATTCAGTCATATCTTTTAGGAGTCTTTTGCAATCCATCTAAAAACCTTCCACCACACTTAGGAATTTTCATGAGTTAACAAATGAATGAAGACATTTTTTATCAATGTACTGTGTGCCAAGCACTTGCATGTCTTTAAGAACTTTAGTCCAGATTTTCTTAGTTTGAAGTAATTTCTATAGTCTTAAGTTCATCTTCTTGAATGTATTTAATGATAAATGGTATGTGATTTTTGCCTTTACCAACTTGAATCCAGTACCCAGAGCTACTTATTTTCCATTAATTTTTAACTGACTAGGGTTGTGTTTTAATTTTTCATTAATGTCCTCAGAGATAATTGCATTAATCTGAAGAGAATAAGGCATCTCCAACTGAAAGCAATAGCTCATTCACAGATTCTCAGAGTTTGAAGAGACCTCAGAAAACATCTAGGCCAGCCTCAGTTACCAGAGCAGTCACCCACATCTGCAAAACACTCAACAAGTGGTCATCCATCTTTGCTTGCTTGAGGACCTCCCGAAGTAGCCCATCACTGCCCACGGCAACCCAGTCCACGTTTAGACACCTCAAATTGTTTGGAAGTTTTTCCTTACATCCAGCCTCCATTTATCTCTTTACAATTTCTACCTGTTGCTCTGAGTTCTGTCCTCTAGTGCCCAGCAAAACAGATCTGTCCTGTCTTCCATGTGGCAGCCCTTCAGATTCTTAACCTCTTACCCCTCTAAGTCTTCTCTTTATTAATGTTAAGTGTCCTCTGTTCCTTCAAACAGTCCTCCTGTGGCATGAACTGAAGGTCTTCCACTATTCTGATCACACTCGTCTTCAGTTTAATATTGCCCTTCCTAAACTGTGGTGCCCAGAATTGAACATGGTATTCTAGAGGTGACTTTACCACGGTGGCACTATCATCTCCCTACTCATTGACAATATATCGTACTTGTTTTCTTGCCTGCAAGATCAAACCATTGACTCATGGAGCTTGCAGTCCACTAAAACCCCAGGATCTTTTTCAGACCAACTGTCTACACACACCTCCCCCATATTATACTTCTGAAGTTATTTTCTGAGCTCTAAAACTTTGTATTTTTCGTATTTAATTTAATCCTGTTAGATTTATCCCAGTGTTCTACCCCATCAAGATCTTTTTGAATCTTGACTCCATAATATTAATAGGTTATATTAATATAATACTTTAAGGATTTCAAAATGTTTTTCCTATATCATCTTGTTTGATCTTCACAACCCTTTGAGATAGGGGCTATTATACTCATCTTAATAGATGAGGAAACAGACTTAGAGAGGTTAAACAACCTCCTTCATTTCCAAAGCTAGTAAGCATCTGAGACAAGATTTGAACCCATGTCTGAGACTCCAGGTTGAGTGCTCTGGCAATTATACTATGCTATCTATTGTCCAGTGTGTTAGCTGTCCCTCTCAGTTTTGAGTCATTTGTAGATTTGATAAGTATGCCACCTATACCTTTAAGTCCCACAGAATTAGCATAAAAAACTTTTTTAAATGCTTTGCTAAGGTCTAGGTAAATTGTATTTTCAACATTCCCCTGATCTATAAGTTGAGTAACCCTGCAATAAAGGACATTATATTAGCTTGGCATGACCTGTTCCCATCAAAGCCATGATAGCACTTTATAATCCCTGCTTCCTTTTCTAGATGTTCCTTTTGTTATATTCCAAAAATTTGCCAAAAATCAAAGTCAAACCCATTGGCCTTTACTTTGCAGATTCTAATCATCTTCCCTTTTTTTTTTGAAAATCAAGTTCATTTACTTTTCCACAGTGCTGTGGAACCTACACATTTCTCCAGGGGTTTTCAAGGATCAACTTCTACCAGTCCGTTCACTGCCCTGGAATGTAGTTCATCTGGGTCACATGACTTGAGCTCATCAAGGGCAGCTAGCAGCTCTTTTTATCTCCTTTCTTCTCCTGGGTATAAAGAGATGAGTCGCTCTGTCTCTTCTTTCTTGTCCATTCTCATTCCATCTACCCTGAGCAACAGCAGCTTCTTTTGAATGTCCTTTGTGTCCAGAGTGAACTGAAACATTCTTCAGTTTTGCCATTCCTCTCATGCCATATTTTTTGCACTCATCCTTAGTTAGCTTGTTTCCATATTCTGTACATCTTTAAAATCTCCGTTGGTGAGAAAAGATAAATGTTTGGTAGTTGGGAAAATTTTAATTTAAAAAAAAATCTAATTTGGTAGTTGAATTTCTTGTGTATGCATATTACTCTCTTTCGACTTTTTTTTCCTCATGAGAGTTGTTGCTCTTTGTGTCTTGAGAGCTTCCCACCCTTCCAGGGCTTCTGTAATCCCTATAGAATTTTTATCTATGGGATTCTACCTTTCCTTTGAATATTTTGAAATCTCTCCCAAAATAGCAGACTAAAGCTGACTTTTCTCTATTACAAATTCTAAGATGAAATAGTCAATTTTCCACAAGATTGCCATCATTATCACTGCAGCAACCAATTTCTCCTTATTAGTGAAGACTAGAATTGGATTTCCCCTTGTTGTTTCCTCTACCTTTTGAAGTATGAAATGATCATCAAGGCAAGTTAAGGAATTATTAGCTGCTCTATTTTGGTCAAAAGCTCTGGCAGCTCTCCAGATAATTAAAGACACCTCTATGCCCAGCTTGTGATCTGTTTTCTAAACTCATGTATTTCCTCTTTCTGCCCAGATAGTCTATAATGTACACTGATGACAGTATCACTTCTTGATCTTCACCTAAATGCTCTCTCTCATGCTTTTCCAGCTCTGACTGTTGGATTTTCTTACAAGTATATCTCTGTAATATACAATATTTTTTTCCACTCTCCCCCCCCATTGTTTCCTTTGAATGAGGTGTGCCTTTCCAGAACTGTATTCTAAGAGTTGTGAGCCTCATCCTACCTAGTCTCAGTGACACCCACTAGATCAGATTTGCTTATTACCTGCATTGAGATCTTTAGTTCACATTGTTACCTGTTGATCGAGTTCCTGGCTCCTCTTCTGGCTTTTATCTGCTGTGAATTTCTGGATATCTCTAATGCTTTGTCTTCCTAGGTTGTTGCTAATCTCTGTGGTATCTAGTTTGGAAGACATATTCATAGATATTTTTCTCCATTTTCCTTTCCTTTTCAGTTTAAAGTCTCTTTTGATAAGATTTGCAAGACTCTAGGAAAATGCATTTTTACTAGCCTTTGTTCCCTGGCCAAGAACCTGTGTTAAGCATATTAAGCTCTTCACTTGATGATTTTTTTTCTGTGGAGTTTTAGACTTTCTGCAAGATAAAATTGACCAGGAATAAGATATCTTAATAAACTTAATAAGAAAGAATTGAATTTTTGCCTAAAGTTATCAACAATCTTGTCTTTTAGTGCTTAAGAATCTTTTCTTCACTCTTTTGATGAGCTAGAAAAAGTAACTTTGCAACAGTAATTTAATTTCTAAGTAAAGTTGCTTGATTTCCACAATTTGAAATACTACATTTCAACCGAGTAATTTACATTCTTAGATGTCTATGCTGACATTGAATATTTGGCCAATCAGTGAATATTGCATACATGTGAATCTAATATAAACATGGAAAATTTCTAGCTTGGATAAAAATAGGAAATATATTTTGCAGTCAGCTTTAATTGGTGACATAATAAATTCTCTAACTGGGACACTTACCTAGGACTCTTCAACTCCACTAATTCAAAGGATAATTACTCTAAATAATTATAATAATTATAGAATCTTCAAATAGTCTACTATGGGGAAACAATTTAAAGTTTTCCTACAGCTCTTCTGTCCTGTCTTATGGTTATTGAAGAACTTCTTACTTTTGAGATAAACTTGAGAGAAATTTTGTGGTATTTGGCAGGAGAATGATCACCAAGTGATTAAGTATATTTTACCCCCCCCAAAAAAAACCTATTATATCAAAAGCGTCACCAACATCATATTATTAGAGAGAAATATGTAAAAAAAAAAAAGAATTTCCCCATTTCTTTCTGTCTCTTCCTGTGTCCCCCATTTTGTATCAGGTGGGTATGACTGTTCAAATACAAGAGAAGAGGATCTCTAAGGTACCCTGACTAATGCCTAGTTACCTCAGTCCTAAAGTATTAACAGTTCTTTGAGTCAGAACAGAGTTAGTGTTTTGTACTCCTGTCCTCATTGGTAAGGATTTCTTTATTTTGGGTAGTGCTTCAGAATATTGTCCAGAACTGGGAAAGATTTTTGTAGGTAGTTTTTTTTTTGTTGTTGTTTGTTTTCTTAAGGCATAAAAATGACGGTCATTATAAACCATTTCACTTCATAATGGTTAATCAAACATCTAAACAACAAATATCAGAGAACTTATTCTCAATATGTGAGTTTCTTGATAGAAAGGCAATGTAAAATCAAGTAATGTAAGATATTTGATACCTCTTTCCCATGTAAAAGGGTATACTGTTGAAGCAAGATACCATTTCGTGGAAATTAATAGAGGAACACATGCACTTCAAAGGAAGACAACTATATCTTTTTTGTTCTGTGTATTAAATTATAATGTTTATCTCCTTTGAAGTTTCAAGACATCTCAAATATAAATGTCAACTACATACTCCTAGCTAATTTTCTTACAAATGAATTCAAGTAATCAATCACCATTACCCTTAGACCTGAAGCCCTTTCTTGTTCTGTGAGTTATTATATTCCTGAGTTGGTGGGAATGTGTTCACCAGACTACACTGAACTAAAGAATTTCTTTTCATTAGTGCACATTTTAAAATAAAAAATAAAGCCCCAGTACCCACAAACCTTTTTTTTTTCTTGTTTACAGGTTCATCGGCTGGTGGTAGTAAATGAAGCAGATAGTATCGTGGGTATCATCTCACTCTCAGACATTCTACAAGCCCTGGTACTCACACCAGCAGGTAGAGATGCTGACTTTTGCCTTTTCTCCTAAGTTTACAGGTGTGACTGAATGTAGCGTACCATGGTGTTCTCATATTGTTGTAGCAAATAACTTTCCCATAAATCCCACCACCTATAGTTGTTGCTTTACTTTGACAAAACCCCAAGTTTTTTCTCATTTTTTTTGAGTTCCATGCTTTATATAGATGTAAAAGAAAGACTTACACAAAAATTCTAATTTTCAAGTATTAGGTTGATACCCAGAAATTCCTAAGTGGCCTAAAGTATTTTTAAGATTTCTGTCATACTTGTTCCCATTAATAATAACTCACCTTTATATAGCAAATTCAGGTTTACAAAACACTTTCATTGCAACAACCCAGTGACATGTGTGGTATAAGTATCATTGTCCCCATTTCACAGATGAGACTAAGGTGAAATGATTCATCCAAAGTCACATACTTGTGATATAATTGTCAGCGCTCAGGTCTCTACCTCACACTGACTTTCACCATGCCATGGAGTCTTAGGTCTCTTCAGTTTTATTTCACTTAGGAATGAATGCTAGTCGGAAAACATGAAAACCAACCCTATTTTTACAAGAAAAAATGGCTTGGTATATAATCAGAATGTCTACTCACATTTTTTTCCATAATAAAATTTAAGGTACCCACCAGACCAGAGATAATTATTACTTATCTCAGGAATCAGTCTCATTTTCTGGAGTAGCAAATAAATAGAAGGGAAGTGTTAGAAGAGAGCTGGTTTTGTCTTGTTCCCATAAATTTAAAAGCAGGAGAATTATTTTAGAGATCAAAAGACCAGCAGATCTTTCTATCCCCCACTTTCACCACCACTGTATCAAACTAAAAATAATTCTAAGACCATAATATGTCCACATTAGTTGGAATTGTAAAACAGAACAGAACAAAACAAAAAAACAGTAACATCATAAGAACTTCATAAAAGTCAAGGATTTCTGTGTATTTTTATAGCATTGGTTACCATTTGTTAAGAAGTCAGTAGTAAACTCACTCAAGAAAAATAGACTCCTACTTGTGAACAGCCCTTATGTGCAAATGGATGGCAAGGGAGTCCCAAATCTAAAGCCCTATTCTTAGTGGAGGCAGCTGCCTTTTTGTTGCCCAGTTCATAACAACTGGAGAGTGAATGACCCAGAAAGGTAGAAAGTTAACAAGTTGGTGACTTTCACCTGAAATTATTTACCATCCTTCCCATTTGGTAGCACCCAAAACCAAGGAGAATCATGTGCCAGTAGCTGGACCTTGACGGTATTTATCTCTAAGAAACAGTGTTATGAAAAGTGTTTAAGTAAAGGTAAAATGGTATTATTAATATTATTACTTCAGGTACATTATGGATTAATTAAGCTTTTGTGGGCTTAACTGGAAGCCATGTATAACATTTCTATAGGAAAATGAGTTCCATGTTCCAAACCAATCTACTTAGAATTTAACTTAGAGAGTAAGAACCATGTGTAAGTTGTGCGTTGCCCATGATGAACCAGCAGTGACTAAAGTGTTTTTGCATGCCCTTTGGTGATAATTATGGTTGTAAATTTTTTGAAGAATATCAAGTACTCTGCTCATATAAGGTAGTATTTGGTGCAGGTACAGCACCCTGACACATAGTAAATACTTAATTAAGGTCTGTCAAATTGAAAGGAAAAGTATAAAATTGATAACTGTGTGTAAATTACATACTTTTCACTAGACAAAATACACAACACTCCAACCTAGCCAGGTTTTCTTTTCAGTTTTAAATAGAATATTCAAAAGTAGGCTAGGGAAGAGAAGCTATTTGTCAAGCTCCTTTTAAGAAGTCAAGTCTTTTTGCCAAAAGATGTTGTACATTGTAATAGCACCTTTACAACATCACCAAAAATCTCCATTTGAATGATAAGAAACCTAACTCCTGAGGCTGTCCAGTCTGCTTTTGGACAACTCTACTTGTTTGGAAGGGTTTTTTTTTTCCCCTTTCATCCTATCAAAATGTACCTCAATGTTGCTCCCCACTATTCCTAGTTCTTCTCCGTGGGGCCAAATCAAGTAAGTTTAAACCCTGTTCCACTTAACAGCTTTTCAAATTGCATGACAGAGTCAGAATCCAAAAAGATCTTCACAGGCTAGAATATCTCAGTGCAAAGGACAGATCCCTGGGGCATTCTGCTAGAGACTTCTCAACAGTGTGACAATAAACTATTAATAACTAATCATTGGATCCATTCATGTAAACAGTTCTAAATCCACCAATCTATAATATTATCTATATCACATTTCTGCATTTTGTTCACAAAGATGTTATGAGATATTTTTGTTGAATATTTTGCCTAAATACAGGTATACTATGTCTATGGCATTGTTATCTACTAGCGAGACTAGCCTCATTTATGTACTTTTTGTACAGTTATTAGATATAATTTGTTCTTGAAGAATATATTTATACTTACATATAACTGCTTCCCTTTCTAAATGGTCAGAAACCATCTCTTTATAATATGTTCTTTAATTTTTCCAGGAACCAAAGTCAAGTTCACTGGTCTATGGTTACCACTCTTTACTTTTCTGAAAATCAGGACTGTATTTTATACATATATGTGATACATATGTTACATATAAATAATTTAAATACATAATTATAATACCAGATAGAATGTGAAAGTACAGTAAGAGAGTACAGAGTCCTATGGTAATTCAAAAGAGGGAAACATTACTTTCAGCTGGAGGGATCAAAAAAAGTTTCAGGGAGAAGACAATTTTGAACTGAAAAAAGAAAATTAGATGGATGGAGCTGAAGTTAGTGGGGGCATGAAGGAGACATCATTCCAAATAGAGAGAACCATGTAAGCAAAATTATAAACATAAGAAAACAAAGTTTTATTTTACAAAAATGGGTGGAGAATAGAGTTGGAAAGGGAGTCTGGGCCCAACTATGGAAGGCCTTGAGGATCAGGCTTAGAAGTTAGTACAGTATTTGGTGGTAGTGGGGAGCCATTGAAAGTTTTTGAGCATAGATTGATGTGACGAGAGCCATATTTTGAGAAAGCTAAATTTTGTAGAGAAAGCATTTTGGAGCCTATTTGAAATATCCCAGGTGAAAAATAATGGGAGCTTAAATGCATATGTTGTCAGTGGGGAATATGGGGGGGGGGGTTGAGAGAGAGGAGGGAGATGGAAAGAGCTCCAAGGTTTGAGCCTGAGTGCCTGAGAGGCTAGAAGTGACATAAATAAATATGTGTGTTCACATTACTTAAGACAGTCAAGTCATCAGAGACGTTCACAAAATACCATAAAACTCATTTTCCCTGTATAATAACAGGTGCCAAACAAAAGGAAAGTGAAACAGAATGACCACAGTGAACATAGAAGCCTTCAGTGAATGTAGGAGAACGTGAACAAAGTTTCTGGGTCAAGTTTTTGCCTCATGAACACTGACTGCAATAGAAGAGAGTAATGGTTATGAGAATGTTGATCGCGGTAGAGTGATGGGTAATGAATCTTTATTTTCCCCAGTGATGTCTAAACTAAGCATGACAAAGAGAGCTTGATAGGTTTAAAGATTGTCTTCTGTTAAAAAAATATATGCATATATATATTTCCAGACCTTTTCTGAAAGATTTAATATGCTGTCATCCTTTAAATTGTACTATGTCCTGAAATTCTATCATTTTTTGCAATCAAAAGAGCTCATTGATAGCTAAGAACGTGACATAAGGTGAGTGTATGGCATATTCCTAACCTAGTGCCTTATGTCAGAATACAGCAATATGTCATCACTGTTGCCCATCACTGTTGGAGAAAGTATTTGTGTGAAGAGAAAACTGTGTTTGAATGTGAAAGTCTTTGAACCTATTACCAAATCAGTTTAAGTTTTCAATAGATTTGTCATAAAAGCTGTACTTTGAATATAAATAGATTTACTTTAAAACTTTAGTTTTGTGTTTAAATGTTGCATTCTGGACTAAGATGTAAAACAAGACTGATTTTAAAAACAGCTTTATTTATTTTTACTTTCATGGCAATTTTTTACACATCTTTTGGTGGATAGTTAAAACTTCACCATATCCATTAATAAACTGTTGATTGTTATACAAAAAAATGGCAGATTTCTCGTTATTTGTTTGGACCTGAAGAGGATATGGCTTCCTGAATAGCCCTTATTAGACTTAAAAGTTAAAAGTTTCTAAAAGCATGCATTGAAACTTATTATTCTGTACTGTATGGTAAATAGGCAGCAGTTATTGAGGAAATGAAGTGCCAGAGAAATGTCTATTTTTTTCTTGTGTATTGCAATGTAAAATCATGATGTTTGTATGACTGCTGATACAACTTTTTTTTTTTGTAAATTTTATTGTGGCATATACAGTATTGTCATACAGTTGCAAGGAGAGGAACATTTCCTAATGTAAATGCTCTGAAAATGTTGAGACTATATAATTGTAGATTTTCCTTTGCAGATTGAAGAAATTAAAACAAGTCCTACTATGTCATTTTGTTAGAGAAGTTCTTAAAAAATAATCACGTATTTCTGCATGTATTGAATAAGATTCTACGTGCCTTTTTTCACTCAAGTATTTATCTCCATTTAAAGCAGAATTAGTCCTTTTGTCCTCCCTCCCTCCATCAAAAGAACCTTTTATTGATTCCTTAATTCACAGTTTCTTTACCTTCCCATTATAAAACATGATTATGTTTAGTTTGAAATTGGCAAGAAAATTTTCTTGTAATAAGGTGCCATTTTTTCTTTTCTTAGTAGAACAAATCTTCTGTTTGCGTCTCTGTTCTCAGTGTTGTGTTTGTCTGTGCACATGAGTCTATGTGCATGTTTGCTCTCACCTACACATTAATGCTTTGAAAAATAATCATAGCTATTTAGGCTGAACAGCACTTGCATCACTTACTCAACTTGTGGATCACAGAATACCCATGCCACTCTTTGTGAAGAGTAACATTTTTGTTTGTACAATCTGGCAGAGACTGTATGGTCCATCATTTAAATGTTGACTTTCCTTCTATGAGAAATGTTAGAACTATGGTGGTTTTTTTATTAGCTTTTTTTTTAGCTTTTTTTTTTTTTTGGAGAGAGGAAGCAAGAAAGCCAGGAAGCTGACACTGAACAACATGGTCTTGAAGCCTGGACAGTGCCTTAATCCAGATTTACTTCTGTGACAGCGTTACAGTGTCCCTCTCCCCCACCTCATGCCCCTAAATTGATATTACTCAAAACCTATAGTTCTTGTTTTTTTAGGAAAGAACTGAAGATTTCCCACTGCTGCTGAAGTAGAGAAAAGTCTCCACCTCAGAAAACTGAAGTTTGAGCCATCTAAAAAGAAATCTATTAGCACTGACACTTTCCTTACCTTCCACATGGAAGTCACAGTCAGCAGAGGGCTCTTAGTTTCTCTATGTTTAAAGTAGTCATTCGATCTAGTAGTTAACAATATCAGGCTCACATAAAAGTATAATGAAGATTTGCAGAAGTTATTGAGAATTGTCTTTAAAGTGAAGCATTTTTTTTTCCATTAAGGTCCATGTTACAAATAGCTATTACCTTTTTTCTCCAAGAAAAGTAATAAGGTGTACCACATAAATGGTAAGGACAACACATTTTATTCATCTTGTTTAGTTGTGCATCTCTGGAAGATGGATGAGTTTGTAAATATTTGTGCCGCCTCCTCCCCAAGATTGTTTTGAGTTATTTGGGTTTATGTGCAGGCCTATGCCCTTAGCATGGCTAAAATTATGTTTGTGTGTTGTAAACAATAGTTTCCTCCAGGTTTTAATTTTTTATTCTGTCATCATCACCTTAAGTGACTAGGACAAGAGTTCAAAACCTTTCTTTGTGTCATAGGTCCTTTTGGCAGTCTCATGAGGCCTATGGACCCCTTCTCAGAACCATGTTTTTAAATGCATAAAATAATACAAATTTACAAAGGAAACCAATTACACTGAAATTCAGTTATTCAGATTTTTTTATTTGATTTGATTTTATTTTTTTGGCTAGGCAATGGTGTTAAGTGACTTGCCTAAGGTCACACAGTTAGTTAGTATTATGTGTCTAAGGCCAAGTTTGAACTCAGGTCCTACTGACTCCAGAGCCAGTGCTGTATCCACTGTGCCACCTAGCTGCCCCTTATTCAGATTTTTTTAAACAAGTTCATGGACTCCAGGCTAAAAACCCTTGGTCTGGAGTCTTAAAGTGCATATTTTTGAAGACTTGTACAAAACAAGTTCCCTGTATATCAAATACATTTTTAACAACTCCACAAAGCCAGGCCTAGACAGAGCAGTTGGAAGCCAAGTGGTACAGTTCCCCAGTGAAGCAGGGCTCTAGAGAGGGTCATCCACGTTCTTTACCTACCCTGAAAGATGAAGTGCTGAGTCGAAAACAAAAGTTCTCACCATCACCTTTAGCAGCAGAGCATAAAGAAACAGGCATGGAATCTGTGCTAAACAAAGATCAGGTTACTCCCATGTCTTCTTGCACCTCCAAAAATAATTTTTCCTCTTCATCTCTCTGAGCCTCAGTTTTCTCATCTATGAAATGAGCAGGTTGTACTAGATAACCTCTTATGTCCCTTCCTTCTAAAGAAGTCTGTGAATCCTGTGAATTAATGTTGTGTTAAACTTTAGTGAGCTAGGCATAGTGTTGATAATACACATCAAATCAAAATGTTCTGAAAAAAACAATATAGGGACACTTGCAAACCATGGCTTATCAATACAAAAATCACCAGGCAGTCTCTGGGGACGTTACATCCTAACTACTTAACTAAAAAAATTCACTTCCCCCTGGAGGGAGAAAGCTATCAGAGAGCCTCTAGAGGAAATGGAGTCATTGTGGGAACAGGCCAGAGATGAACTCTTTGGGTCCACAGGGCCATAACCTCTTATATGCTTTCCTGTTCTCTAAGCTTTTTCACAGGATTTCTACCCTTTGCATTTCTATATAGAGACAAATCTTTCCCTCTAGTGTGGACACGCTCTTAAGAGAAAAGTTCCATCTGCAGCCAAATCCTTTGGGAAATATCTGGAAACCAGATAACAAAATCCACTCTACAATATTTTTGTCTTCATGGAATACTATAAAACAGACACAAAGATCGTTCTTTTTCACAAGAGATTACATTGCAAGAGTTCAATTTGCTGATTTTTAAACAAAGTAGACTCGTACTTATATAGCATACTTTTAAAAAATTCCCTTTAAGTTTTTTTTTCTTTTGCATAGTAAAGTGATAAGTATAGTGCCCTTTAATAAAGGATGTTCATATTTTCTTCTTGGTTATGTCATTTTTTTTCTTGCACAAAACAGTATATTAATTTTTTTTTATCTTTTGATGGCCCCATTATTGTGATAATTGCTCCAAAATTATGTTGTACAAATATTCACTAATAAAGTGGAATGAATTAAAATTATGGTAAAGCTTGTTTGGATTGATAAGTGTCAACAAATATATTGAATTGAACCCAAAGAGGATATCAGGTTCCTAGAGAGATGATCTCAGTAAACAGGAGGGGGCTTCAGAAGGCTTTTAAAAGGTCTGACATCAATAGTAAAAGGATTCTCCCTAGGTGCTGCTGAAAAAAAGGAAGCATGGAAGAGTATCAGCCTTGGATACTTATAACCTCCACGTAGAACATTTTTGTAGGTAAAAGTCATATACTGGTCACCTATTAAATGAAGTGTATTCTTCTGGTGGACATCACCTGGCTACTGCCTAATGGTATTTTACAAAGTTTAGGTCCATTTCCTATCCAAAATACTTTTCACTTTCTCTCAAAAGGTAACATTTTTCAAAGATCCCTCAGATTTTTCCTTAGGTTCCCACTGTGAATGCTAAACATTGCCAAAGAAAGGAGTATAAGAGGTAATGTGATGATGATGAAAATCAAAACTTCCTCGTGAATTGGTACCAGCTACACAGAACCACTTTCCCAGGAAGCTTTTCATCTGAAATTAGAGGTGTAAAAAAACAAAAACAAACAAACAAACATGGAAATCTCAGAGACTATACCAGAATGATACATTCAATGAAAAATTTACCAGGCCTTATCAGAGCCAGAACCAATTAGGGATACGCTTCCTGCCCCAGCACTAGCTGCTGGATTGCTGGATACCCATCCCAGAGCTGTCATCTCCTCCTACCGCTAGTCACTGATAGGACTCCACCACCCCTACTACATTCCCCTGATGCGGAATGCCTAAATCAAGTTCAGAGATCACAAAGAGGGCATGTACTAGCTATACCAGAAGGTGCCACCTTTCTCCCCATGGCCCTAATAATAAACTCATTACTACTCTGCCCTAATCCTACTGTTTCCCCAACACCCCCTGTGTTGGTGCAATGGAAAGATGCCTGGATTTAGGGTCAGAGAATCTGAATTCACTTACTATCTTAGGCAAATAATCTTTTGGGGACTTGCTTTCTTCCTTTATATAGCAAGAGGATTAGGCTAGGTAACCTCTATAATCCCTTCAGCCTTTGAATCTGTGACCCTGGAATCCATGATCCTTCTTTGTTCCTTCCATATTCTGGTGCTCAATGAAACTTGGCTTTCTTCTAAAGATAGCCCATTTTATAGCGCTGCCCCCTTGTCCATTCTACCTCCACAAGGCCTCCCATTTGTCCCCTTATCTCCACTCACACCACAACCCCCACAGTGCAGGCCCTCATCACCTCTCCCCTGAGCTACTATAATAACTTCTGGTCTCCATGCTTCAGTTTCCAATCTACCCTCCATACAGCACAGGCCATGCCTACTATATCACCCCCTCGCTCAGAAAGTTCTAGGCACTCCTCTGTTCGGCGATTTCTCTTCTGCTTAACTGCCCAAGATGTTATACATTGACAGTCTGTGCCATCGTCCACCTTGGTGCTTTTGCACAGACTTTTGATTGTGAATAGAATGTACTCTTTCCTTACCTCCACCCTCTTAGAATCCCTACCCTTTTTCAAAACTCAGCTTGTTCCGTTCACCCTCCCAGATGACCTTGGATCGACTGTGTATTTATTTTGTGTTCACTAACGTGTACGTGTTGTCTCTTCCTGTATAATGTAAAGTCCTAGAGGACAGGATTATTTTATTTTATGCCTTTTATCTCCAGCAAGAAGTACAGGGCCTAGCTATATGTTTAAAACACCCAATAGCTGATTTTGAAATGATTCTTGATTGATTGATCCACTGCTAATTGCTCCTTTTCTCACACACCCCTGATAGCCTGGGTCAAGAGGAAAAGCTGACATATTCCTTGTTTCTCCCCTATGACATTTTCAGATCCTCTGGCACCATCACCCAGCAAGCACCTCTTTTCCTTTAATATTTGTTCTTTCTAATCCAGATCTTGTTACTTTTATTTGTGAACTACTAGATCATGGTTCTACCAATCTACCTCAACCCAGGGGTATGCCGGAACCAGTTCAAACCAGCTCTAGACAGCCAATTGTTAAATTTTCAGTATGAACATTTATAACTTGGGAATTGGCAAATGCTGCAAAT